ATAGTCCTGACCGAGGCATTTTCCCTCTAACTATCTCGTCTCTTACCCGATAAAGAGCTTAAACGGTGGCTCAACTTGTAGCTTATGAATCGTTCGAGTTGATCTATCTCCCTTCTGGACCAGAAGTTCGAAGACGTATGCGTTATTTCCACTTAATTTACCCAAATCTAGAGTGAGAGTGGCCAAGGAATTGTTCAAATGCCTGAACTCAGTCCCATGACAAACACGAACTTCCTTTGGTGAGACAGTCCAAATGGTACCCTTATCATCTTGCCCCGCACCTTCTCTTCGGCAATACCAGGTAAATGAGAGGCCTTCTGAATTTTTGTGTTTTACTTCTGGGTCATAACTCGCCGATCCATCCAATCTCACAACACTTTCATTGCCTTTAAGAACACTAGACAGCCCCTCGATGACTGCGACAAGTGGCGGAAGTGTGATACGAGCATACCCATAATCGTAAGTTATGGTTTGCTGAGAGTGATTTTTCAGGACACACCGAATATACATGTAACTAGCCCCAAACAGCCTTGGGAAAAGGTATTTGGGTCTACCAGGTTTATTCTTTCCGTAAGGAATAATCTGATTACATAGGCCAGTACTTTCTTCGCATTTGGACACCTCCCAATGTAGTTCGTAGCCACCATAGTTATCATCTTTACAATTTCCATTATAAGTCGCTTTAAGAAGAAAACGAGAGTTTGTGTAAATAATCGTAGCATTTTTCAAGGTTTTTCCTAGCTCGACTTTAACGGAAGGAACGTCGCACTCACAGTTAACTGAAAGAAGAAAGAAAGATAATTTTAACTGCAACGCTATAGGAGTTTTTCCATGTGCTATGTGGATGTTCAGGGATATGCATGTATCAAATTTGCCGTTATTAGGGTTCAAGAGGAATAAAAAGCTATCGTTCTCAGGTTCCAGACCGTAATGACACGGCCATCGACTTTAAGTAAGGTACGATTGCTTCATTGTCTGTTATAGTTTCTATTCTCTAATTTAGGCTTAGTGAGGAAAGTGTTATGCGTGACTCACACAGTGTGACTTTAGTTTTCCCCCGTTGCTTACTTAAGTGTACGTATCTAAAAGTTACGTTCCGAACTCTTGA